CTCCTCCCCACACCCCCACTCCACTCACCTTCTCGAGCTCCTCCTCCACTGTGTGCGCGATCTCATTCTTCACCACCTTCCATCAAACTTCGCCACGAACCCCTCCCCGCACCTCCACTCTCACGCCCCACCACACCCCCACCTTCTCAAGCTCCTCCTCCACTGTATGAGCAATCTCGTTCTTCACCTCAAACACACGGTCCAGATCCATCTTGGGCACACTGGCGCGCACCACTGCCGGGAAGAGCAAGGAGAGGGCGGAAAGGAACGGGGAAAGCGGGAATTGGAGGAGAGGAGAAGAATGAAAGATCTCGCTTTTCATCTCAAACACACGGTCCGGATCCATCTTGGGCACACTGGCGCGCACCACTGAGAGGGGAGCAACAGGAGGGGGGAAGAGGGGAAAGGGGAATTGGACTGGAGGGGAAGGATGAGCAATCTCGTTCTTCATCTCAAATACACGGTCCAGATCCATTTTGGGCACGCTCGCGCGCACCACTGCGGGGTGTAGGTGAAGGGGGGAACAGAAAATAGCGAATTAAAAACACGGTGCGAAAGCAAACTCCGAAGACTAAAACAATGACAAGAAGTACATCATAATCGCAATGTTTCAGATGCATCGGCCACAGTAGATCGCGAACGCTGCAGCACTCACCGTCGAAGACGTATGATCGAATCTGCGCCTGGGGATCCTGCAGCTTGTAAAAGGCGTCCTCGATCTGCTCGCGAATCGCCTGGTACTGTATCGATGCGACCACAGTGACGAACACGTTGTCCTGAAGCGGAAAAGCCAAAAACGGGGATACAAAGAAAAGGCAAAGAGTGGTGAGGGTCCTGAGCTTGTACAACACGTCGTCAATCTGCTCGCAAATCGCCTGGTACTGTATCGACGCGACTACAGTGAGGAACACGTTGCCCTGAAGCGGGGAACGGGTGAATAAAGATGACATGACGAAACGGCAGCAGTATGAGGGGACACAACTATGGCACCACGATGTTTAGAACTGAGTTTCAAAAGTATTTTGTGACTGGCGGTGACGTCGTTCCTTGCTGGCGTCGTTCCTTGCCATGATTGGTGGTGTAAATATTCGAAGCGACACTTTGAACCTCGCATCATGAGCTTGCGGCACGCAGCACCGTGCCGCGAGCTCATGAGGCAAGGTTAAGATTTCGCTTCGCAGTGGCAGCCTTCATCCCCTTTCACCGACCTCCCCTCTCTCGAAAGCACCGTAGCACGGTTACCAGCCTCACCTTGGTTTTGGTTTCGCAGCGCGCGTCGAGTTGGCGCACGCGGAGGCTCCTGACATGAGCTCCGCGTGGTGGTAGCAGTAGCACCACGGCACGCAGTGACAGCCCTCTTCCCCTTCCCTCAACTTACCCTCTCCCGTAAACACCGAAGCACAACGGTAGTACTAGCAATACCTTGGTTTTGGTTTCGCAGCGCACGTCAAGTTGGCGCACGCGGAGGCTCATGAGCCCCGCGGGCCGGTAGCAGCAGCACCACGGCACGCAGTGGCAGCCCGGGTCGAGCGCCTTCACGAACCGCCCAAAATGTTCCACCATGGCCACCGTTGATTGGTCCACCTGGAGCAGGCCGAACATCTTCTCCATGCTGGCGGCCGCGTTCTAACCACAAAATAAAATATATAAAAAACTACAACCCGTATAACAATTAGTGTAGAGAGAAGATATGTGACGAATCTAGAGATAAGCTGATAGATATGAGCCGGCGCTAGTGACGGTCGTGCGCTTCGGCAAAAGAAACGCTGTTTCGCTTCGGGTTGAGGAGGTGAGGACTTCTCAGCAACGATTCAAGACTTGCAATCGGGGTGTTGGTGGTATTTGAAGCTTGCCCAAAAAAAGAAATGCTCAGAACTCCGTGGGGGGACTGAAGTCGGAGGAAGTTGAGTGGCAGAAAGAAGGGGTTGCTGCGGAAGAAGGGGGGGGGGGGGTGGGGGGGGGTGCCTGCGCGCACCGCATTGTTGGACAAAAGTGGAAGGGGGACACAACCTGGCGCTGATTAGGGCGCGTGTGTTCTGTTTAGAAGTTCAAAATTAAGTTCGAACTTTGGGTGGTTACCCTATTCGCTAGTTTCGCGAAGGGTGCTTCGCGAACCAAGCATTGTATGGGCTCTGCAAAAGTTCGAGTTTGAAATATGAAGTTGACTCGAGTCGGAGGCGGGAACGCGCATGCGCACGTTCATGCGAGCGTGTGTGATTTGCAGCACGTACGAACAGCTGGCGAAACGGGCGAGCGCTTCGTCAATGCATGAAGTTGCACAACGAAGACACCCCACAATTCGTGCACACAGTGGTAGCCACGTGTCCAGCATCGTGGCACGTTCGAGCACGATGTGGCAACGCGTCCCGCCCGTCTTGACGTCAGTCAAAGAAACTCCCGCCCTTGCCCAATCCACGTCCCCCGCACCAAATGTCTTTGAAATCCTGTGGGAGTGGAAAGCGGACCAGCTGTAGGGTTGTCATGTTGGGCGAATGACGAGTATACAAGGTGTTGCCACGGGAGCTATTTGTACCCTGGTTACACACTCGACGCGGAAGGTGAGTTGGAGCTCTAGGTCCTTGTAAACCGAGGCGCAAAATGTTGACGTGGCGCACTGTCAAGACGAGCGAACCGGGTAACCTATGATGTTGACGTGCGGCTCGGCTCGTTTTTACAAGTTCGAATGTCGGGGTTCGACCTTGTATGTGTGTGTGATTTTTTACAGTGTGGTAAGCCCGATGTTCGAACTTCGATAGAAGGAAATTCGAACTTCTTTCTTTGTAAGTTCAAAACTAAATTTCGCCCTCAAAACATAAACTTTTACAAATTTCAAAGACCTCACGCGCCCTTAGAGAAAGGGGGAAGTGAGGGTCAAGTTGGAGGAAAAAGGGGAATGGCGTTCTCACACCTGGGGGAACATGGGAGGTGAGGGGAAAACGCCTCTCCCCGCCGTGCCGCGTCTCGTTTGCTGATTCGTTCCTGCATCTCACAGCGCGACGCGATTTTTGGCCCAGCTGCGCACGCAAATATAGCCTCGCAACCCCCCGGTGCATGGCATGCGAAGCTCGCCACGCGTCGGGTGTAACGAAGAACGTGGGGCTCGATGCGAGGTGAAAGGAACCTCCATTTAGGATGCCTTTGCTGGGGTTGACAGCTTTGCCAGCGAGGGACCAACACGCCGGTAACGGGATGCCAGCTATTACAAAAATAACTGCAATAAACTACGGTATGTCAGAGAAATTTTACTAGCAAAGACGAGTGTAACTGTATCATGTGTTTAAGAATGTTAGCTATTACAAAAATAACTGACAAAGTAACTGTATCATTTATTTACGAATTGATAGGGTTGACAGCTTTTCCATAAAGGGACAAACACGCGGTAACAGAATGCCAGCTATTACAAAAATAATTGACAAAGTAGGTGTATCATTTATTTACGAATGTGACTGTTAGAGAAATATGTCAGAGAAATTTCACTAACAAAGACGAGTGTAGCTGTATCATGTATTTACGAATGTTCGATTTTGCCATCATGGATGACCCTCCACGAATGGACAGCCAGCACCACATCAGACGCCTGCCTGACGTGGACTATCTTGGAAGCCAGGGAAAACGTGGCAGGACGAATCACCTGGATTACCGAGCAACTCAACTGATATATTTCGGAGCTGCTACTATCGAGTACTATCGCTCCACATGAAATAGCAGCCCATTCTAGTCGTCCCTCGAGGAGCAAGTAACTTTGTTGTAGGTCGTCGCGACGCGCAGGTACAATCTGGAGAGCTGATGTCACCAGAATAAGGCTGTGACCTTCGTATCCACTTGTCAGCTCCGACAACATCTGATAGCGCGTCTGACAGCGTCCGACAGGGTCGTCTTAGCTTTTTCCTCTGGCAGCGTCTTTTTCGCCGGCAGCCTCTTTCCGCAAAGCCCGTGTCAATGTCTCCTTCCGTCAATCTAGAACGCGCCTCGGCAACCTCCCGATACGTATATTCCGGAACCGCGCTCGACTTAGTAGAAATTCGCGCTTCCTCCGTTACGATCTCCAGCCTCTCCAGTCCGACCTTGCTACTTAATCCGCCCTCGTTAGTTAATCCACGCCGGATCAATGGCGCTCCGCCAATCGTTCCGCGGGCAGCATTCTTCGGCCGGCCATTGCTTCGCGAACCAATCAGCGGACGCCACGTGTCCCTTCCTGCAAAAGAATCGTCGGCAGCGCGAGGCAGACGGACGTCTCGCGTGAATTCCGCACGGGCGGCAGCAGGAGGCGCGCCGCAGCAGCCGCCGCAGCAGCCGGCGGACGGATCGGCGGGAGAATGGCGGCGGCGATGGGAACCGTCGGAGCGATTCGCGCTGTCGTTTGCGAGCCAGATGGGCGACGACATGGAGAAAACCGAGGCGCAGGTGGGTTGTGAAACCGAAGCGCAGTTTGACAACGGCTAAGAGATGTAAATTTAAGGGAAAGGTCAAGCCATGCGTGCTCTCGAACACGCGGGAAAAGGGCCGGAATTTCCCCGATAAAACCCCGAACCCCGTTTCGCAGTGCCCCTGTCGTTTATTACCCTATCCTCCCCTCCCTACCCCTACATTTCCCTCTCCTCAGCTCCTCCTCATCCTCAAACCCCGGACCTTAACCAGCTTCCCGCGGGGGAGTGCGTGCAGCACCCCATTTACTTCCGCCATCATCCATCCCCTCCCATCCCCTCCTTTCCTCTTCCCCCCTCCACCCCCCTCCCCCCCGCTCCCTCTGCCGCGCTTCCCCCGCCTTCCGCCTCCCCCCTTCTCCCCAATTCCTGCTCATGCGCCTGTATCCGGACCTCAACCCCCTCGTGCCTCCCTCTCCCCACCCCCCACCCCCCACCTCCCCCCATCCATCTCCCCGCCGGCTCCGCCTAATGCGCCTGTACCCGGACCTCCAAACCAGCTGTCCTCACTTACCCCCGACACCCCTTTCCGTCTTCCCCCTTCTCTCCCCCCTTTTTCGCCCCCAGCTCCTCCTAATGCGCCTGTACCCGGACCTTAACCAGCTTTCCGCGGGGGAGCGCGTGCAGCAGCGCGTGAAGCGCATGGGCGGCGACGTCCGGCAGCTAGTGGAGCAGCTGTGGGCGGAGGTGGAGGACATGGAGCGCACGCGCATGCAGACCCGGGCGGCACGGGCGGCAGGAACCGGGGGAGGAAGGAGCGGGGAAGCTTCCTCCGGGGTGGTTTCCTCTGGTGGTGGAGCGGGTAGTTCCGCCGTTACATCTCCAGTTACATATGCCGTTTCATCTTCCGACGCCAGAACTGTAACCCGCCCTGCGAAACCGAAGAGACCTGCCCCGCCCCTTGTTGCGCCGCCTGGCCACCCAGCGCGAGCCGCCGCCCAATCCCTCGCTGCTCCCCCCGGTGGAACTTCACAAACGGACAAAAGCACCCGCCCTGCTGCGGTCCCGGTTGTGATTCGGGCAGTACGACCGTCCCAGATGTATGGAGAGGCCGGGGTTAAAGACACGCTTCCCCCTGAATTCAGAGGGGTGGGTGCAATCATAGAACCAGTTAAAGTGCAGAGGAAGGGAGATGGGGGGAGAGTAGAAGCATCAGCATCAGCATCAGCATCGGCATCTGCATCTGAATTATCAACAACAGCACCAGCAGCACCATTGACCCCACCACCAAGACGACCAACACTGGCAGGGGCAGCAGGCGCTAAGGCAGGTGAACAGGTGAAAGGTGTAAGGGAGGAAACGGCGCAGCAGAAGGATGCGGAGAAGGAAGGGGAGAAAGAGAGAGAGGGGCAGACGAAGAAGAAGTTGGAGGAGGGAAGGGAGGAAGTTTTTGCCGGCGTTACAGAGGCCAGGTCGGGTCTGAGCGGTTTGTAAGTGTGGTAGAGGCAAGCGGGGAGTCTGATAAGGGCGTGAAAGTGAAGGCGAAGGTGCAAGAGAGGGAGGAAGTTCTGCCGTCGTTACAGAGGCCAGCGGGGTCTGGGCGGTTTGATAATGCTGCAGAGGCGAGCAAGGTCTCTTCTGACAAGGGCGTGCAAGGGGAGGCGATGGGAGGAAAGGCGAAGAAGGCGAAGAAGGGGAAGAAGGGGAACAAGGGGAAAGAGGAGAGGGAAGAGGTGATGCCCGTGTTGCAGAGGCCAGCAGGGTCCGTGCACGCGGTAGAGGCGAGCAGCACAGTGGTGGTTGAGAAGGGCGTGGAGGGGGAACGACCTGCAGAGAAGAAGAAGGACGAAAGGGAAGTCGTCCTGCCGGCGTTACAGAGACCAGTGGGGGGTTCAGGGGGGGCTGTGAGCGCTGACGAGGCCAGCAGGGTGCCTGTCAAGGGCACGACAGGGGAGACAATGGATGGGAAGACGAGGGAAATGGCGAAAGAGGAGGAGAGGGAGCAAGTCCTGCCGGCTTTACAGAGACCAGTGGGGGGTTCAGGGGAGGCTGTGAGCGCTGACGAGGCGAGCAGGGTGGAGGGGGAGACGATGGATGGGAAGACGAAGAAGAAAGAGAAGGAGAGAGAGCAAGTCTTGCCAGCGTTACAGAGACCAGTGGGGGGGAAGGTTATTGGGATTGCTGATGCAGGTCAAAGGACCAGCGAGGGCGCTGGAAAAGAGATTGCAGCAGCAGGAGTAGCAGAAGCAGCAGGAGCAGCAGAAGCAGCAGGAGCGGTAGCAGGAGCAGGAGGAGGAGGAGGAGGAGCAGCAGCGAAAGGAGAGGGTGAAGGAGAGACGATGGGCCCAGTGCAAAAGGCGGAAGTGAAGAAAGTGACTGTAACGAAGGCCCCTTCACGCCCACACAACGCTGCTGCTGCTGCTGCTGCCAACGTTGCTGCCAACGTTGCTGCCAACATTGCTGCCAGTGTTGCTGGTGATAGTGAAGATCCGGCAGCAGGGGAGTGGTCTGCCACGGTGCAGGAGGCAGTGGCGGCGGGAAGAGGCGAGGGAGAGGAGGCAAGCAGCACTGCTGCAGTCGATGCCTGCACCTGCTGCCACCACCGCTACTGTTGCTGCTGTGGCTGCTGCAGACGCTGAACCTTTAGAGGTTGCAGAGAAACGGTACGCACAGCCCCTCCCCCCCCTCCCCTCCCCTCCCCTCCCCTCCCCTCCCCCTCCCCCTCCCCCTCCCCCCCCTCCCCTCCCCTCCCCTCCCCTCCCCCTCCCCTCCCCTCCCTCCCCTCCCCTCCCCTCCCCTCCCCCGGCCTCTCTCCACCCGCACACCCCCACTTCCCTCCCAAGTTCTCCGAGTGCCAGAATGCAGCAAGGCAAGGCCGCCGTGAAACTCTTGTCAGAAGAGCACAGCAAGAGGACAGGTGGTGTTGTGGCGCCTCAAAAATCGTGCCAGAATGCACCAAGGCCTCCTTAAACCACCTGTCCTCCTCTGGCTTTTTTTTTTGTTTTGAGACGTCTCGTCACCCCGTCTGTCTTCTCTCCGTCGTCTCCCCTCTCCACCTGGATTTGTCAGTCGTAATCCGACCCCTTCCCCCCTCCCCCACCTTCCCACCCTCATTCTTTCCCCACCGCTCCCCCAAGCCTGGGACCATCAGCAACCCCCAGGCTGTGACGCCTATCCCCAAGGGCCTTCCCCCCGTTGTCACCCCTCCGCCTGTCGACCTGCGCCGCACCCATCCTGATTTCTTTCGCCCTCCCTTCCCCCCCAAACCCTGTTCTTTCCACCACTCCAGGCCTTCCAAGCCTGGGACCACCAGCAACCCCCAGGCTGTGACGCCTATCCCCAAGGGCCTTCCCCCCGTCGTCACCCCGCCACCTGTCGACCTACCAGTCTCTCAGTCACTCACCCCTGTTCTCTCCCCCACTGCAGGCCTTCCAAGCCTCTGAACACCAGCACCCCCCAGGCTGTGACGCCTATCCCCAAGGGCCTTCCCCCAGTTGTCACCCCTCCACCTGTCGACCTGCGCCGCACCCGTCCCGACTCCCCCCGCCCGCCCCTCCCCCCCAAACCACGCCCTTTCCTCTCCTCGCCTGCCCCCGCCCCGCCTCCTGGTGCTGAAGCTGTTCCTGTCTTGCTGATGCCGCTTCTGCTCCTGCTGCTCCCTCTGCGCCTGCTCCTCCTTCTGCTGCTCCTGCTGCTGCTGCTCCCACCACTGCAACTGCCTCTTCCGCTGCTGATGGTGCTGGTGCTGATACCACTTCACTAAGTGCTGCTGATTCCCATAGCAGTGATGATCTGCTAAAGGGCATTAAACTGTGGGGCCTCAATACTTCTCCTGAGGTAAGATGCACTTCTACCCTTTTGAATTGTGTTGGTCATTGCCTTTACCCCTCATTTTTATTATTTCTTCTCTTCTACCCCTTCATCATTCCACTCCGTTCACCAAATAATTCTGCATTCCCCAAATAGTTGTGCGTACACACACACACACAAAAAAAAAAAAAAAAAAAAAAAAAAAAAAAAAAAAAAAAAAAACACCCATCATTCATGTCTGCGTCCAATCCATACTCACCTTTCAAAATCATGTTCATGTTCATGTCTGTGCCACATGGCACATGGCAGGAGGAGAAGGTGATTCAGCAGGCAGAGAAGGAGCGCACAACAGTGCCAGCCAAGGTCGTCACATGCAACCACGGCGGCCTCGTGGTTAAGCTGCTTGCCCGCCTGCTTGCCCTTGCCGCGACCCTGCTTGCCCGCCTGCTTGCCCGCCTGCCTTGCCCGCCGGCTTGCCCCGCCTGGCTTGCCCACTGCTTGCCTCCTGCTTTGCCCGCCCTGCATTTGCCCTGCCTGCTTGCCCGCCCTGCTTTGCCCGCCTGTCTTGCCCGCCTGCTTGCCCGCTCTGCTTGCCCGACTGCTTGCCCGCCTGCTTGCCCCGCGGCATGCTTGCCCGCCCTGCTTGCCCCGCCTGCTTGCCCGCCTGCTTGCCCGCACTGCCTGTGCCCGCCATGCTTGCCCCGCCTGCTTGCCCGCCTGCTGCCCGCCTGCTTTGCCCGCCTGCTTGCCCGCACTGCTTGCCCGCCTGCTTGCCCGCCTGTCTTGCCCCGCCTGCTTGCCCGCCGTGCTTGCCCGACCTGCTTGCCCTGCTTCCTGCCTGCTTGCCCGCCTGCTTTTCCTGCCTGCTTGCCCGCCTGCTTGCACGCCTGCTTGCCCGCCTGCTTGCCCGCCTGCTTGCCCGCCTGCTTGCCCCGCCTGCCTGCCCGCCTGCTTGCCTGCCTGCTTGCCTGCCTGCTTTGTTGTGAGTCTCGCTGCAGGCCTAGTTCCAGACCTTGCTTCAGGCAGTGAGGGAGCGAGCGCACAACAGTCATGGCCAAGGTTGTCACCTGCACCATGGCGGCCTTGGTGGTAAGCTGCTAGCCCGCTGCCTGCTAGCCCCGCTGCCTGCTAGCCCTCTGCCTGCTAGCCCGCCTGCCTGCTAGCCCGCTGCCTGCTTGCCCCGCTGCCTGCTTGCCCGCTGCCTGCTTGCCTGTCAGCCTGCTTTCCTGTCAGCCTTGCTTCCACCCTTGCTTCAACCCTTTGCGTCTCTCTCCCAATCACCGCCACCTTCTCCCTCCCATTCTCCCGCCCACCCCCCCCTCCTCTCTCCCATCTTCAGCTCTCACTCAACGGCATGCAAGCCCTCCTCCCAACTAACTAGCTACATGCACACGGAGCTGCGCTGATGTAGCTTCAAACCTAGCCTCAATCCCAACCTCCCACCTCCTCCTCTTCCTCCCTCTTCTCCCCTCCGCTCTCTCCCCCCCATTACCTCCAGCTCTCCCTCAACGGAGTGCAAGCCTTCCCTGCCTGCCAGCTACATGCACCCGGAGCTGCATAGCTGGAACTTCAAGCCTTGGCTTCCGGCGTTGCTTCAATGTCCCAATCACCTGCCCACCTCCCCTTTTCCCCCCACCCCTTATCTTCAGCTTTCACTCAACAGTGTGCAAGCCTTCCTCCCTGCCAGTTACATGCACCTGGAGGCTGCACCGATGGAGCTTCAGACCAAGACTCACATTTTGAATAAATCCCCCCTCTCTATATCTGTCCTCCTTTTTCCCCGTTCTCCATTTCCCAGCTTTCACTCAACGGCGTACAAGCCTTCCTCCCAGCCAGCTACATGCACCCGGAGCTCCGCCGGTGGAGCTTCCGAGGCTGGCTCCGAGCCAACGGGCACGACCCGAACCTGTTTGGGGCGCGGGAGGAGAGTGGTGGGGGGGAGGGGGGAGGCAGGGGAGGGGAGAAATGGAAGGCATGGAACAAGGGGAAAGAAGGGAAAAAGGGGGAAGAGAAGGAAGAGGGGGGAGAAGAGGGGAGAATGGAAGGAGAGGGGGGAGAGGGAGAAGAGCGGGCAGTTGGAGGGGAGGGTGTGGAGACCTTGAGGGTTCAGCTGAGTGAGCAGTACACTCAGGAGAAACTCGCTCTCTTCTCGTCCTATGTGGGGGAGGTGAGACTTGCCCTCTTCTTGTCCTATGTGGGGGAGGTGAGACTTGCCCTCTTCTTGTCCTATGTGGGGGAGGTGAGACTTGCCCTCTTCTCGTCCTATGTGGGGGAGGTGAGACTTGCCCTCTTCTTGTCCTATGTGGGGGAGGTGAGACTTGCCCTCTTCTTGTCCTATGTGGGGGAGGTGACCCTCTTTTTTTGGAAATGATCATTATTCCCCTCCTCCTGTTTCCATCCTCCTCTCTTCCCTCCATCTCCCTCCCTCTCCTCTCCCTATCTCCTTACAGGAGGTGCGAGTGAGAGTTGAAAGGTGTGACTCGAAGACGCGCTCTGTCTTTGTGACACAAAGGGGGGCGGATCTGGAGGACGAGGAGAGGGTGGAGAGAAGGGAACAGCTGCAGGTGGGTTCCTGAACTGCAGGAGGAGTTTTGAGGCGTCTCAAAACACTTCTTCAATCAAGTGCGTGCAGGTCGTTGGAATTGGGAGGGAGCACAGTAGAAGCACCCTTGTGACACAAAGGGGAGCGGATCTGGAGGAGCAGGAGAGGGTGGAGCGGAGGGAGGGAGCAGGTGCAGGTGGCTCACTGTGATTTCTCTTAGAAATCAAAAGGAAAACTCAGATGCAACAAGCTGACTAGAAATTCGCCACATTCCAATGAGGCAGGTTTGGTCCTTAAAATTCTATAAGCCAGTGTGAGCCAGTGTGAGCTATTCACTTTCCCTGGCTCGTACTTACTTCCTTGCTCCCCTCTCACTGTCACGTCTGAAACGTCTGCTTCTTGCAATGGGTTAATCAGAGGTGACAAATCTTTGCTGAATTTAACAGTCAATATTGGGTTTGGTTCATTTCAAAGGCACGTCTCTTGCTCGTATCTCCCTCGTATCTCCTTCCACGTTACTCACTCAGTCTCTTCAACCACTCGTGTATGCATGCATGTATGTGTGTTGCTGTGCCCCTGCCTTCTCGCTTCCATCTGTGCATGTGCATGGCTGCATGGCATGGCTTCACCGCATGGCTGCATGGCATGGCATGGCATGGCATGGTATGGCATGGCCACATCAGCACCGGCTGGAAGCTGGGGATGTTGTAACGTCCACAGTGGTGTACATCGGTGACATGAACATGACCGTTCAGGTATGCTCTAATCGCAGATCATGGTTTTTTCTTATTATGTAGTGCATGTAAGCGTAGTTGTTGTAACGTCCACAGTGGTGTACATTGGAGACATGAACATGACCGTCCAGGTATGAGCGCATATGCATATTTGTTGCTTACAGTTTGCTGATACCCATATCAAAAAAGGCTTGATCTCTTTTTTTCTCTCTTTGTTTTTTCTTTATCTCGTTTCCTCATCCGCCCCTCTCCTCATTCTCCCTTACCCTCATCTGTGCCTTTCCTCATGTGCCCCTTTCTTTATCCCCTGTCTCCTGTGTGTGCCACGTGTCACACCCTCACAGGTGGACGGAGTCAACGTCATGATCCATTATGACAGTATCCGGCAGCTGAAGCAAGGACCAGTGGACACGTGGCCCTTCCCCATTGGCCATGTAGGTCCACACATCACACCTGTGTGCTTGCTTGCTTTCACATCAAGCACTTAACACATTCCTGAATGCTAAACTCGAAACCGTTAAACCTCTACACTTCAAGCATCAAACACTGAAAGCCCAAAACCCAAGCACAACCTCAAAGCCTTAAACCTTTCAACTCTAGCCTTCAAACCACACCAGTTCATCCCATTCACATCAGATGTTCACTTCCTATGAGGCGCCTCAAACGACGTCTTTTAAGGCGCTTCAAAATTCATCCCAACCCGAAAGCCTTAAACCTTTCAACTCTAGCCCTTCAAGCCACACCAGTTCATCCCATTCGCATCAGATGCTCACTTCTCAATATGTGCTTGCCCATATGTTCACGCTCGCATCATATGTATGTATGTGTAAACACAACTGGGCTGGGCTTAGGTCAGGGTTCAACGTTCAGGGTTTAGCCACAGCAGCGGCAGTGGCAGTGACAGCAGCAGCGGCAGTGGCAGTGGCAGCAGCAGCGGCAGTGGCAGTGGCAGCAGCAGCGGCAGTAGCAGTGGCAGCAACAGCGGAAGTCTCTTCCCTCTCGTTTCGCTACCCTTCCTTCCTCGCCGCTCCTCCCCTCCGTCCCTCACACCTGCCAGTCCCTGCCGGTGCATGTGCTCTGCAGCAAGCCAGATGCAAGCGTTCGTATTTGAGGCACCTCAAAATAGTCTCCCCCCTCCTCCTCTCTCCCTCTGTCCCCCCCTCCTCCGCTCCCTCTGTCTCCCCCTCCTCCGCTCCCTCTGTCTCCCCCCTCCTCCGCTCCCTCTGTCTCCCCCTCCTCCGCTCCCTCTCCTTCAAACCCCTCATGCACCGGCCAGTCTCTGCCAGTGCACGTGCTTCGCAGCAAGTCAGTCCAAAAGCGCCTGCTCGTTGCACTGGAGCCACCCTTTCCCAACCTCCCTTGTGTTTTTCCCCTCTCTCCCTTTCGTACCCTGCCCGCACCGGCCAGTCCCTGCCAGTGCATGTGCTTCGCAGAAAACCCGTCCAAAAGCGTCTTCTCATTGCTCTGCAGCCACCCTTTCCCGTCCTCATGCGTTCTTCCCCTCTCTTTCTTCCGTACCCTGCGCCCGCACACACCGGCCAGTCCCTGCCAGTGCATGTGCTTCGCAGCAAACCCGTCCAAAAGCGCCTGCTGGTTGCACTGGAGCCGCTGCAAGTGCAGCAGCCAGGGCAGGGGCAGGGGCAGCAGCCGGGGCAGGGGCAGGGGCAGGGCAGGGGCAGCACCAACAGCAGAGGAAGCAGCGGCAGCAAATAAAGTCTCCCACACTCTTTTTTCTCTCCCTCCCCCCTGCACCCCACTCACCCCAGTCCCTGCCAGTGCACGTACTTCGCAGCTAGTCAATTCAAAAGCGCCTGCTCGTTGCACTGGAGCCACCCTGTCCCACACCTCCCTAATGTTTTTTCCCCTCTTTCCACTCTGTACCCTGTGTTCGCCCACACACCTGCCAGTCCCTGCTAGTGCATGTGCTTCGCAGCAAGCCGGTTCAAAAGCGCCTGCTCGTTGCACTGGAGCTGCCACAACTGAAGCAGCAGGGGCAGCAGCAGCAGCAGAATCAGGGGAGACAGCAGCAACAGCAGGGGCGGCAGCAGGGGCGGCAGCAGTGGCGGCGGCAGGAGGCGCATGAAGCTGCTGAGTCCGCTCCAAGCATGCCGCTTCAGTTTGAGGTGCGTTTAGTGCAGTGTGGTGCGGTGCAGAATGGTGCAGTGTAGTGCAGTGTGCACCTAGCACACTAGCTCAACAGTGATGCTACTTTTCCCTGCATATGATGCTACATATCTTCCTCCTCCCCTCCCACTGCACCTCTCCACAATCCCCTGAAAATCTCCTGACACGCTTGGACACTCCCCAAAACAGGCAGCAGCTGAGCTGGAAGCAGTGGCAGCCAGTCTCAGAGAGACACCTGGCATAACGTCGGTGACTCTGGGGCGTGTGATTGGTGGAGGCGCCTTGGCTCCTGGATTTCAGGTATGAATTGCTGTCAGTCAGTTTTGATGGTTGTTGGCGTCCGGACCTGCCTGGTTTGAGGCGCGTTTTCAGTGTGATGTGCTTTTGAGGCGCCTCAAAAGTCGCTTTTAGTGTGATGGCACACAAAAACCCTTTGCCTTCCATTTTTTTACATTTTGGGCATAGTTCATCCAGGAGATGCAAGAGTTGCATCTACCGTACTGAGCATAAAACTACACCTCATCCTCACTAATGTTTGTTCCACGCTTCTGAACTTTGTACCTTACCTGCACTTCACGTGTCTTAGAAATCGTTTTCACAGATTTTGCTGGCGTCACAGTCAGACTCTGAATACAAGTTTGTAGTCCGTGCAGGGGGAATAATGTTGTTTGTTCTCCCTTCCCTGCACATCACACTACACAATCCTCATCTGCGCTCTCACAGATCTTCCTGGCATCACAGTCAGACTCAGATTACAAGCTTGTAGCACGTGCTGGGCTGACCATCCAAGAGGTAATGATCTTCCTTGACTAAAATTCCATGTTTCATGACGTACTTGTCTACCTGTTTATCCTTCGTCGCGCTTGATGGTGGTGTGACTTGCTATTTTATTGGGTGGGCTGGGCACTTATTCATGTGTATATTTTGTTTCCTTCTTCTTTTTCTTTTTTTCATCTGAGTATGCAGCTGCTAGTGGAATCGGACCTTGATAAGGAAGCAATCAGAGTGCCATCCAACGAGCGATTGGGCAGTTTGTGATTGACATATTTTGCAAAAAGGGGTCAGGCTAATTTCAATTGTGGATATTGGGACAAAGCTTTGTGTGAATCACTTGATTTGTCATGCTCTCTCAAAGTAAACTGTTAGTGCTCTGTTTGGGAATAGTGGAAATTATATTGGCTACCCTAATGCAGTTTGCAATATTTCATATCATATTTTTATTATATGCTTTGTTTTCCCCTTTTATTATACAATCTCACACCTCGTCCACCTGTTTCTCGATAGTTGAGATCTGTTACGGGTGCAATGAATCGAAGTAGCGAGAATTGCACTAAGGTTTCAAACGAGTACAAAATGTTGAGCGAAAGCATGAGCGAACATTTATACGCGAAACATGCAAACGGTAACACGGTGCATGCGAGCTAGCTAGTGCTACGCTGGAAGCGAGGCTTGGGTGTCAAAATATTATAGCCTGTAGTGGGTTGGGCTACATGGGGTACCACTAGTTAGGGTTAGGTCATGTACCCCAATTCTGTCAATACAGCGCATTCCGCTGTAGTTCTCATTATGACATGGTATCAGCAGTAGGTTAGCGCTCCTAGTCCTAGGCACCGCCCCTTCCCCCTACCACTAGGGTTACCACTGCGCCCTGCCAGCCCGCCTAGCGCCCTACCCCACGCCCCAGCC